TTTTCCTTTTCCTTTTCTCCCATCCCCCATCCCGAGTCCCGAGTCTCAACTCCTAACTCTATATAACACAATTCCCATCTCTCCCCATATCTCTCCTCATCTCTCTCTCCTCATCACCCATTCAATTCATTTATTCATTTATTCATTTATTCATTTATTCATTTATTCATTTATTCATTTATTCATTTATTCATTTATTCATTTATTCATTTATTCATTTATTCATTTATTCATCCAGTCTATTACACGCGCTGATCCTCTACAATCTATAATCCATCCGGCGACGTGCAGTGAGTGTGACAAGGAATCTTATAGAGAGAGAGAGAGAATGGGATGGGGTCTGGCAAAGAATAGAATGTTATTACGAGTACTCGTATATGAGCATAAATATGGATATGATTATGTATATGAATATAAACAAATATCATCGTCAATGTATGTATATGTATGTATATATATATAACTTTCATATGTATTCCACATATGTATATCTCACATCACATATCTCACACCCCACATCACGCCTCTCACCATCAAACCAAGCCACTAGTATACTATAGTACTGAAAAGTTCGTTGGATATGAAAACGAAAATTGAAATGACGGGATGGGATGAGATACTTAGAAGGTACCGGCGACGAGGGTTGAATGCACAAAGCCTTATTGCACTGACTGATACTTGACGATATGAAATACGGGGAAGAGGGGAAAGGTGAGATATCCTGATGGCTGATTTTCAACATAAATATCATTTTTTTGAAATAATATAAGGATGGGTGTCTATACTTGTGCAGTTGGCAATACTCTAATACTCTTCCCACTAAGGGAGATTCAAAAATCATTGAGATCCATTTCCCTTTGACTTAAGCGACATCTTAAAGCAATCGAACATTGTGAGCTATCATGGAAACTTGGATAGGATGAACACTACTAGTATTTCCCCGATACTAGTACATAGTAAAAAATAAAAATTTAAAAGGTAGACTTGACTTGACTTGAACTCGGATAAGGCACTTGAATGAAGGACTACCGGTATTGAGATTTCAAAGGTTGAAAAGGTCTGATACTGAAGATTCGGGAGTCTTGTAGTAATATACAGATTTTTATTCTGATAATACCTAGGTAACCAAAATGAGGATATACAAGATAAGACTGACTTTGCTCCTTCCTAAAATTAACTTCTTCGATCTACATGTCAATTAATTCTGACAACCACACAATAAATTGAAGTTTTATAGATAAGAAATAATGACATGAAGGGAAGTTGAAATAAAAGAATCAGAAGAACTTGAATAACTCTCGACTTCTCGTCTTATAAATTGGTAAAATGGTGGAGTACGGAGGACTTCAAATTCTAAAATACGGTATTCAAGAGAGAGAGTTATTCGAGGGTTAGTGTGCAACATATCCCTGCAGGTAACCGTTGTACTAATTTATATCTCCACATTTTTATTATTAGTGTTTGACTATAACCTGTATAACATAGATAATATATAGAACTTTTCCTCTTTCGTCTTTTAGAAGGGGGAGATCTGGGTCTAAATTTGGTCTATTGATACAGACTATAGTAGTTTGTGCTTTCCCTCTAGTCTCTTTGGGTAAATGATATACTTTGGTTAAGTAAGTATTATAAAAAGTTGGAAGTATATGATAAAAAGTTAAAAATACATGATTTGGCCATCACGTTCTTATACTGGGTATTATTCTTCTACACAAAGCTACATACCAACTAATGCAAAACCAAGATGAATTCGAAGAGTTCTAAAGGATCCGTCTAGAATCTAATCAAACACCATCCAATTACTATCGAATCACCCTCTCAGTTGCCACCCTCTACATCTCTCAAGAGTTAAGTCTCAACATTAGGAAGAAAGTTGGCCAAGCTACCATACCATACCATACCGCACGCAGTATAACCTCTTTTTTTGTCCTGGTTAACACATCAACTTTTACTTTCTTGCATATATATATCTCCTTCATCCTCTCATCCTCTGCTTTCACTCTCCAGACTGAATGAAATTCGACCTCTGAATACATCAATCCAGTTCCCTGAGAATCAAGGGAACATATCCTTCAATATCCAGGATCCTAACATTTAGTATTTCGCTGGTAAATTTTTCCTTCTGTCGCACAAGATGATGGACCAACAACTCACGTCAAGAGGCCATCCCTTTGCGAAATATACCACCACAACACCATCCATTCGACCTAGCACGTCTGAAAGTAGAGGCAGTCCTTCCGCAGAGGGTAGCGTTCAGACCTCTCCAATAAGAGACCGACCCGACCCATTCTCCACCCCTTCCCCTTCAAGACCCGAATCGAGCCTCGGAACATCATCTTCGGTCGGAAGATCATATGGCACACCATATTTCCACTCGCGAAGAGTCAAGAAGGGAGAAGTTGATCAGCCATGGAAAGCGAAGAAGGACCCAAAGGAAAGATGGGTCACGGTCATCCCAATCGTTGGCATATTGATTGGACTCGGTATTGCAGCGTTCTTTGTCTATGATGGTGTGCGTTCAGTCACTCATCATAAATACTGTCCAGTCATGAGTGATGATTTCTCAGGTGATACACTCAATACCGATTTCTGGACTCAAGAAGCTGAAGTTGGTGGCTTTGGGTATGTATTGACTTCTAGAATTTTGGCGGATACTTACTAACTGAATTCACAGTAACGGAGAGTTTGAACAGACTACACTTGACGATGAGAATGTATTCATCCAAGATGGAAAGCTCATCATCAAGCCCACATTACAAGATGCAAAACTCATCGAAGCAAACGCCGTAATCAATCTTACATCTGCCGGAACTTGTTCATCCGATATCGTCAAGAACTGCGTCTCAGTCACCAATATCACCGCTGGCACAATCATCCAACCTGTTAAGTCAGGAAGAATCAATACCAAGAAAGGTGCCACCATCAAATATGGACGTGTTGAAGTAACCGCCAAGTTACCTGCTGGAGATTGGTTGTGGCCCGCGATTTGGATGTTGCCCGTAGACAATGCTTATGGAGGATGGCCCGCATCTGGCGAAATTGATCTTGTGGAAGCCCGAGGAAACAACTACACATATGCACAGGGTGGAAACAACATCGTCACATCAACTCTCCATTGGGGACCCGATTCCGCCAATGATGGTTACTGGCGAACAAACGTCAAACGTACCGCTCTCCACACCACCTTCTCAGCCGGTTTCCACACATATGGACTTGAGTGGTCCCAAAAGTACCTCTACACCTACATTGACTCCAAGTTACTACAGGTGCTCTACAACACCTTCAACCAGCCGCTCTGGCAACGTGGACAATTCCCCAATTCTGACATCAACGGAACGAGAATTACAAATGTTTGGTCTCAGACCGGTCGTGATAATACACCTTTCGATCAAGAATTCTACCTTGTTCTCAATGTCGCGGTCGGTGGTACCAATGGATGGTTTGCTGATGGAAAGAGTGGTAAACCTTGGATTGATGCTTCTGTAAGAGCTAAAAATGATTTCTGGGAGGCGAGAGATCAGTGGTATCCTACTTGGACTGCAAACAATAATCAAGGCCAGATGGAGGTCAGTAAAGTGGAGATGTGGCAACAATGTGATGGGAATGAGGACCTTTAAATGTCTTCTTTTCATTTCAGGGCCAGTTGGGCCAGTTGGGTGGATGTATAATAGATTATTACAGAACAAAAGATGGCGCTTGGAAGTACTCGAGTACAGTACAGTATATCATCTTAATTCAGGAGGAGAAAGAGAAAGAGATTTGAGTTTGGTTCCAATGACCAAATTCTCAGTTAAATAAATTGTTCATTAAGGAAATACAGCAGTAGCAGTGTTTTTTATATTTTAGAAAAAAAGTCTAGAATCAATCGTATTAGTTTTAGGGCTTGACTTCTTTGATTATCGGTTTTGGCTCGTTTTGACTCTTTGATTTCTGTTCTTTTGATATTTTATATTTTAAGAAAGTCGGGGGTCTATAAGGTTAATGGTTGTTTTTGATGTTGGATATATAAAGTATGAGTATAGTATAAAATATTAAATATAAAATAGAATAGAATAGAACAGAACAGACGATTCAGTTCTATCTACTAGTATATAGGTAGACCATATAGATAGACTATATAGATCTACTCGAGTAAATAATTACTTTATCTATCTACATTCCCTTCAAATTTTACCGTTACCTTTACCTTTCTTCCTTTTATCTTCCTTCCTGTCATCTTCCTTCCTATCACCTTCCTTTCTTTTATAGCAGGTTTTTCAGCAGGTAGGTAGATAGATAATTTGAATACACCACTTCTCCTTCTCCTTCTCATTCGATTGGGTTAGGTTGGGGTATAATCAGCAGCTTTTATTTATTTATTTTATTTTATTTTATTTATACAACGTGATGTTATACTACTATAATGTATAGCGTAACTACTAGGGCAATGTTCAAGTTGTGGATATAGATATAGATATAGATAGGAGTGACTGGTTTACGAGTATTAGATTGATAGATTAGTAGATTAGTAGATTGGTAGATCGAGATGATATGATATGATATGGTATGGTATGATATGGGTTTTGTGATGGTGAGGTGGGGAGATGGGGAGATGGGGAGATGAGGCGGGGAGATGATGGGATGGTGAGGTGGAGAGATGGGGAGGTGGTGGTGGAGGAGGAGGATGATGATAATGATGATGATGATGATGATGGGGGTAGAGTAGAGTAGAGTAGAGTAGAGATTGATGATATATTGCGAATTAGGTAGCAGAGGGAGGGGAGGGGGAGGGCATCTTTTTTGTTGAGCTTGGGAGTGGGCAGGTTAAGGTTCAGAATCTATTCGGATTGTAGATGTAGTCATTTATGAATTGTACTGTATTGGTATTGTATTGTATTGATACTCGAGTAAAAGGTGAATACTGAAAAGATATACTCGAGTATATCATACCAGATTCCGTGATCCAATCTAAGTGGCAGCCCTGGTGAGTAAGTACTTTGTCGAAATACAAGGATCAATTCATTGTATATATAATGAATACTCAGTTCACCTTTCATAGTATTACGAGTAGTTGTCGGCCTTGATATCTATAATACAATACTTGAGTTGAGGATGATTTATACAAATACTCGTTAGTAACTTAGTATAATCATAAGTACTCGAGTATAAGTACGAGTATAAGTAATCTTACAATTTCTTAATAGTTAATACTACTAGCAAACGAGTTTTGAAGCGAGATGTTTGAGTCGGATGAATATTCGTTGGAGTATGTACTGTAGTAGTATATAGTATAATTTGAAGAGGGATTTATATTATTATTTGAAGACTTTTTATATATTAGAGCCGAAAAAGAATACTCTACTCGAGTAATGTAAAATATCATCTTATGCATAAATAGTAAATATATCCTTTCTTAACTTCAAGGATGGAACTAGAGTATGAGTCTCGGTTGGATGTATGAAGGTATATATTAGCGATATACATACTAGTACTAGTAGGTTTATTCAGTACCCATGAAGCGCATGAATTCATAAATAGGAGTCCTGTGTTTACGGGAAATCTCCCACGGTGATCAGACTAATGGTTTACCTTAGCGCTTGAGGATACAGAAGGTTACAATCATCGTGGCTACAGCTACTCGGAGGGATCAGATGTGTACTCGAGTACGTAACTTACTCTCACGATCTACTCGAGTACAGGTATAAATACAAATACAAATCCAAGTTTGTAATCCGAACCTATATATACCGTAGCTAAGGCATCGAATACACTATAACGATATAGAAACTTTCAGCCTCCAAAATCCAAAACTAAACTAGCTCATATCATACATTTACAACATTTCCTACAAAAAGTCTATAACATGAACTCAGATTGGAAGTACTGAATGTGAGGAATATAGAGTGTATACTCTGATTTAATGATAATCCAGTCACGAATATCTGGCCGGATATCAGAATCATAGTCTCATAGATCTCATAGAAGAGCATTCTCGAGATCCCACCTAGCATTGCACATATGAAATGTATGCTCCCCCAATTCATCATAAGATAACTTCATCTCAAGGTACTAACCGCAAAATAAATATCAGTCACTGACTGGAAAATGAATTCCTGAAAACTGTGCAGAATTTCCACAAATTATCAAACAAATTATATGGAAATCCACTGGATACCATTCCATACGAATTTGTATATACTAGTAGATCACCGGTAATCCGCCCCCGGTGAATATTTAATTGCCTTTTCAAACTTTATAATTTGTTTCCTGACGAGCATCTCTGTTGAGTCACGGTACTTGAAAAAGATGCTATTGTGATAAATGCGAGGTATAATGAACATTTACGAATTCACAAAAATACGATGAGGAAATATACCTAAAAATCTGATTAAGATCTGATTAAGATCTATATTGAGGTGTTTATTGTGACTAATACGAGTAATAATCCTCCACCCACCTTCTCTGACTACTTCTTATGTTCTTAGGATAGACTACTTAGTACTCACTAACCTGACCTGGGAAATTTCGACAGGGTATGTATATGTGTATACATATACACCATCGTCTTGCAAAGCGCTTTCGAATTATAATGCTGATGCTGATGTTGAGTTCTTTTATTATATGATATAGATGAAAGAAAGAAAGAAAGAAAGAAAGAAGAAATAGATAGTATTCCAAGCATGGAGGTATATCAAATCTGGACTACTAATAACTCTAATCAAGTCATAAAATTACCCTTCGGTCCATGCATGGGTGATACATATACAGTAGATATATAGATAGATTATTGAGATAAAAGAACATACTAATCTTATACAGAACTAAAACCCGTAGTAAAATATCAGAGTAAGCTAAAAATAAGACTTGTGGTTTGAGGTGTACCTAGTAAGTAGATAGTCTTAAGGCAAGAAAGATATCGTGTCTTTTAAAGCCATTTTGAATTTTTGAAAAAGATATCAATTAATCAGTAAATACTCGTAAAGATAGACGACTCGACAAAGACACGAGAATGAATAATCGAAATTCAACTAAAAAGGTAATCTCCATATGAGTAAATTAGCGTAAAGAAAGCTCTTATTAGGAATTGATAATGATAAAATCATCTACATAGGCAAAAGATCGCACGGTTCTTGCGCGTATAACCTTATTATACAATAAACAGAGAGTTACTATATGAATGGAGTGATTGATGGATATTATACTAAAACTGTACGATTTGTGCTTTTTTTGGGACTTTCAATGAGCACTGAGAGTCAAAATGTAGTGTGCATTAGAGTATAACGGATTGAAATATTTTGGTTGAAGAGGTTGAGTTGAGTAAGGAATGAGCTGGATTTGATTTTGAATGACTTGCGCGTAGATGTTTGTTGGTTTGGTGTTATGGTATGGTGTATGGTATGGTTAAGGAATGCCCTGCATTGATTTGGTGAGGAGCTATGTCGGTGTGGGTAAGGAAGCTAGAGAGAGCATAGGTTTGGTTTGGTTTGGTTTGATATGGAGAAAGCGGTGGAGGGAAGTTCAAATACTTCAGAGGAGAGTATGGACGCGATTGAAGGGTGTGTATAAGTGGTTGGACGTGGCAATGGAGATGTACTCATCATGAGTGGGTGCGCAGCATAGGACACGGGTTACTCAGAATATATAAATTGTTTACTCGAGTACTTAGATGCAGGATCACACTTGGGGATAATGCCAATCGATGAAATTGCTATATCCAATTAACGACCCACAACAAGAGAAGCACTAGAATCCCTTCATATATTTGTGGTTATCCGTGGTTTCCAAAACCTCAAACTTCATCCCCACCGCAATAGGACCGTCGGTTCTAGGCACACCCAACATTCCAAAACATGGTTTCCACTTGATACCTTCATCTATACGTCTATAGCTTACTAGTGTATCCCATGGCTCATGTTTATGCTTCTCCGCGGTCTCTGGGTTCACATTTGGAACCTGGCATCTTGCACAGCGAGCCTGGATATCGATATCCACTGCATTAGAGCCTAGTGCTGTAGACAAAAGCCCTGAATCGGGACTGTGGACGATTCTTACCCTCTTCCAATCATCCTCTGTCCACGCACCTGGAGCAGTATCTCCATGGTTTCCTTCGTCATTGCCCCTCACAATAATGTTTGGTCGAAACCTCTCGATGGTGATTTCATCCGTTCCTTTCTTCACCAGTCTTTGGTTCAACTCTCGAAGCGAAGCTTCATTTGCAATCAATACTGGTAATACGTCTGGGAAATTCGTGCTCGCTTCTCTTCCTAAAACCTCCGGTGCCCCATTACCCGTCAAGATTCTCGGTGTAGGACCCTTGTATGCCAATTTGACATCTTTCTTGAAAAATTCGGTGAATATACCGTTTATTTCATCCTTGTATACATATCCATCTGTATTGCAACCCCAAATATCCACTTGTGTCAAGCTTGTGTTATCTTTCAGCCACTGCTCTGTAGGTCGTGCGGGAACCATGACCTTCTTGTCTGTATTCCTGATACTTATAATAAGATATTCGGCATCTTCACTGCCAGAGTCGGAGGGAGACTTGGCTGTGGCAAAAGCAGTATCAATCAAGGTCATAGAAGAGATGTCTCGGATGGTAATGAACTTGTGGTCATCGCCAGAAACGAACATCCAGTTTCGGTCAAGATCGAGGCCATGTGTGGTTAGGAATGATGATTTAAGTGATATACCACGACAGGACTTTATGGGATAGATGAGAAGTTCGGTGACTTCAGTCGTCGTGGATGAAGATGATGATGGGAATGGATTGAGGTAATTGAACATGATGAGTGTGATATCGATGGAAATGTGAGGATTGGTTTGTGTTATTTGAAATGATGGGTTTCTAAGTGGTTCATTGCCCGTTATCCATATGATAGGATTCGGTGGTCAGCGCTATGCAGGGATGCTTAATTCCAGCGCGTCAATCCCATTATTGTTAAATACTGGAATATTACTCGTCTATTTAGGTAAAACATGGAGTGTCAAAGCTTAGTTAGCTAAATTATCGGAATTTTCGAATTCTCAATAAAACGGTTGATTAGTAATTTATTATGTCATCTCTACTTGGTATCTACTTGGTTGCTCTGCGCAACCAAAGTGCCAAAGTGCCAAACACAAGCGTTGTTTCCACAATAAACATAAATCGCCAAGAAACCAAGAAACCCCACCTACCCTTACCTTATGCAAAGGAAGGGGAAAGAGAGCAACTTGATTTTGGAGTTCTATGCAAATCGTAGAGCCAGACCAGACCCAGAACTCAGAAACCCAGAATCAGAACCCAGAACCATTCAAACTTCAACTTCAACCTCATATTCAATTAATTGGTTATCTTCAATTCAATACGAGTACAATATAATACATTCCATTCGTTGTCCGTCTCTTAACTTTACAAATCTGCGAATTGGTTCGTTCTTTTCCATAACCTTTGAAAGGGAGTGAGTGCTCTGCCATTTCGCAGAGTTGCTCTTCAACTTCTTCCTACAATCAATCTTCGCGATAAGAAAGAAGTAAGAAGTCGCCGTGCACAAACAATGTCGAGCTTCATAACCAACCTCTTCCCCTCCGCACAAGCTGGTAAACATGACAACATCTTACCAGTGCCCCCACCACCTCTGCATACTCGAACCAGTCAGAATGAAGGTCTCAGCGATCGCCCCAGTACTCCCGTTAACAGAAGCAACTTCATCAATCCCGTCTCAACACCACAAGGAAGTCCAAGCAAGAATCGCAATCCTCCTGGAGCAAACGAGTTACCTACAGCTTTCGATACTGCTATGAAGCTTACACCTGCCAATTTGAGCAGCCCTACCAAACTTGGTCGTGTTCAAATTGGCACACCACTGACTCCAGGAAAGGGAGCGAATGCCAACGCAGTCGAAGAGTACTTGGATAATTCTACCGCCAATACTGATGACAGTGTACTTCACAAATCAACAATTACTTCAGGAAGCCCTGTGCGACGACAAGGTAAAGAAAATAATACCCCTGCAACCACCAGACAAACAGATTCTCCTTCGCTCAATCAAGCAGCAATTTCGCGCCAGGAGCTTTATCAAACTCGAGAAATCCCACCACCGCCTACAAGAAGATACAACACCCAACGTGGCTTGACGGCTGAGGAATTGGAGATTTTGCACAAGCCCAATGTCAAGCGTCTGGCCAATGTTACTCAGCTTTGTGAGTACTTGCATCTATGTTATTGGACCATCACTAATACATCGCAGACTTCCTCGATTATTATTATGATCTCTTAAGTTACGTTGGCTCACGACAAAATCGACTCAATCACTTCAAGGCAGAATATCCCGCTCCTCCTTCAACTCCCGAAGAAACATACATTCCCGTGTGGTCAAAATATGCTGGTAGAGAGCGTGCCAATTTACGCAAGCGTCGAGTTCGTCTACGCCAAGGCGATTTCCAAATTTTAACACAAGTTGGACAAGGTGGTTATGGACAAGTGTTTCTCGCTCAGAAGAAAGATACCAGGGAAGTCTGCGCTTTGAAGGTTATGAGCAAGAAGTTGTTGTTCAAGCTTGATGAGATTAGACATGTTCTTACGGAACGTGATATCTTGACTAATGCCAAGAGCGAATGGCTCGTTAGATTGCTCTACTCATTTCAGGATGAGAAGAGTATATATCTAGCCATGGTAAGTTTCGTTTGCCCGTAGATGTTCGCACATCACTGACATTACAATTGTAGGAATACGTTCCAGGTGGAGATTTCCGAACTCTGCTGAACAATACTGGTGTTCTTGCTAATAGACATGCTCGATTCTACATTGCCGAAATGTTCTGTTGCATTGATGCTTTACATCAGCTCGGTTACATTCACCGAGATCTCAAACCTGAAAATTTCTTAATTGATTCGACAGGACATGTCAAGCTCACAGATTTCGGACTTGCTGCAGGTTTCCTTGCTCCAGGTAAGATTGAGTCTATGCGTGTCAAGCTTGAAAAGGTTGGGGAGACATACGTTCCATTCGGTAAACCTATCGAGGAGCGTACTGTTGCCGAACGCAGAGAAGGTTACAGATCATTGAGAAACCAAGACGTCAATTATGCCAAGTCAATTGTTGGTTCACCTGATTACATGGCCCCTGAAGTTTTGAAAGGTGATGAGTATGACTTCTCGGTCGATTATTGGAGCTTGGGCTGTATGCATTTCGAAGCCTTGACAGGCTTTCCTCCATTTGCTGGTTCCACTGTCGATGAAACATGGAAGAACTTGAAGCATTGGAGAGAAGTATTGAAGAGACCAGTCTGGGAGGATCCAAATTACTTCATTAGTAATCGTACCTGGAACTTCATCACAAGGTAATTTTGATTCTGTAGGCTACACAAATGTTTGCTAACTGGGACAGCTGCATTACATCCAAGGTTAAGCGCTTTTCCAACATTTCGGAAGTCTACGGACACCAGTACTTTGCCGAGGTTGACTGGAACACTCTTCGTTCGCAACGTGCTCCATTTGTTCCAGAGCTAGATTCCGAAACTGATGCGGGCTACTTCGATGACTTTGGTAATGAAGCTGACATGGCTAAGTACAAAGAAGTCCATGACAAGCAAACTGCATTGGAGAACATGGCCGATAGAGAAGATCCTATGAGCAAGAGTTTGTTTGTCGGATTTACATTCAGACACCGCAAACCAAATACGGATGATGATGGGAAATCTAGCCCAAGAAAGGCCATTCCAACTGACGGCACTTTTGGGACTATGTTATGAGCAAATTATGAACTTGATGATTATTGCACGTTCCATTCAATATTTGATTTAGGGAGATGATAAAAACGGTGGGCTAGGATGGAGCAGGATGGGAAATACCGGATGTGGCTATGATGGACGGAAGGATGGGAATGGGGAGTAGAGGGCATTACACAAAGGCATATCTACGGCGTTGAGAGTCAGATTGCTTGATTTCGCGCTGTAAATCTTTTTCTGGTCTTGTTTTGTTTTCCTCGCGTTTCTCACGGCATTTACTTGTCGTGCTAGTTTCTGGAGTTATTATTTTCTTTGCAGACTAAGCCTTGCTTGCTGCACGATAATACGAGTGGGGGGTAATGATCAATAGTTGGCATGTCAGACACTGACGCAAAATGCAAACGCTGTAATAGTACTCTGAATATAACATTTTTCAAAAAAAGCTTCTCATATTTCTTAAGCAAACAAGCGTAAAATCGGAGTGTCGATACCAAGGGGCGGTTGAGCCCAACCCGATAGTTTGGTTTCGTACATATAATTGGCGAACCGATTACATGCATGGTCTCGGCGACATTTAACAACTTTTTCACAAGGCACTTTCTTTCTGCACGGCCGAGGCGGAGATGCAGATGTTGGAGGTAAGGGTAAGAAAAGAAAAGAAAAAGTATTGGAGGGGAAGGATGCACAGTGCGACGTTACCCGCCCTCACATGTTTTGGGTCGTATTTCTGGCGATTGCGAGGGGTTTGGAAATGTTTATGTTTGTATTTTTGGATTGTTTAGATTTTTTGGTATGTTGGGGTGGGAGTTACGAGGTTACGAGGTTACAAGACTGGAGAGGGGATGATGGGATGAGTGAGATGAGGTGAGGGAGGTGGAGGTGAGTTTTTCGGGGTAGGTAAATAATGTATAAGATTTTCTGAGAATGAGAATGACACTTGATACAGGTCTTAGAAATGGGAGTCTATACTCCGTACTTTTTGTTGGCTTTGCGTTACTCATATTTGTTATTCTTACTTTCTGTTTGCTTACGATAATATGTACCCCTTCCCTTGTTAATCTTTCGAGGACTAAATTAGCGAAGAGCGGTATACATACGGAGAACAGGGTACAGAGGGGATGGATGGTTGTATAGATGTATATATGTATGTATTGGATAGGAAAACCTATCTGCCTAGCTGCCTATCTTGTTTTATAATTCATCGACTAGGTATTTATTGTAGCTAGCTAAGTATAGTAGGTGGATGGCATAGCGTGGGACTGGTTCAGCCTTACCTACCTATCTATCTACCTACCTTATTTACGTCACGTCACATCATATTATACCATCGATTGTAATAAGCATAAGCATACTCACTGTAAGCTTATACTTATTTATCAGTTTGTTCGTGCGCTGTTCTGTTATCTTGCGCCTCTGTGTTGTGTTGGATATTGGCTAGGTTGTTTTGGTTACCTTTTACTCGCGTGTTGATACCCTCCCCTTTTGATATTTACGAGTTGGTGGCTTGGAAAGGGAGAGGGAAAGGGAAATAAAAGAAGAAGAAGAAGAAGAAGAAGAAGAAGAAGAAGAAGAAGAAGAAGCTTGATTATCTGCTTATTATCTGATTTTCTTTTGAATTTGTGACTTATTACTTTTATTACTTAATACTTTAACTCATTCCTCAACTCATTCCTCAAGACATGATATCGATATCGATATCGATATTGATATCAATGAGTAGATCTCCAACAATAGGATCCCATCCCATCCCTTGCGCAGACTGGTGAAAGGTCACAAAGGGAGTATATCAACTAACATAAATAGAAATCATGAGATATGTAGGTCAAGCAGCTAAGAGTCAGGTAGAAAAGAGATGCCAGATGAAGAAGAAGAAGAGAAATGCAATGGCGAAAATTAGATCGGGATTGGGAAGGGTGTGGAGGAGGGTGTGCGGGTTTGGTATGAGGTTAGGAAGTAGAGGGTGCTTGTGGAGGGTGCTTGTTAGTACTGTTTCTTCTGGCTTGTTGTGCTGTGCTGTGCTAGCTGGGCTCTGGAGCGTGGTGTGTTTGTGTGTTTGTTGTTGTGGAGGAGGTTGTGATGTGGAACTATGTTGTATGTATGGTGAGATCAGGTGTAGATATATAGATGCATTGGGGAGATGGCTTTTTTCAAAGTTGAGAATAAGCTGGACAATGAAGGGATATTGTCCAGCGTTTGTTTCAGCGTGATAAGATTTTCCTTGGGTTTTCGAAAAAGCAAAAGAAAAACGCTCGTGGGCGTACATATAAAGGAGAAGCGTTTGTGAAGAAAACGACATGGAAGAGCAAGATATATTCTAGAATATTTGAGAACACAGCCAATTTAATTATCACTGTCTAGGCCAGAGACGCGAAGATAGATATGATACTTATATGGTAAATGACGATGATATATGATGATATTTGAGCCATTGTCAAACGTGGTCGTAATGGCTTGAAAGTTGAGAGAGATGACAGAAAGAAATTGGAATCCTGTACTGTTCGAGAGAGTTCTACTCTATAGGGCTACTGTATCTGGAAGCAGCAGGTGCAATGTTTGGATTGATGATTATGGGTTGTGGGTTGTGGGCTATGATCAGGTCTTCATCGATCCCACATTTTGTGGTCTCTTGGGTAATGACCAGAGGGGGGGAGGAGGGTCATGGCTTGTGTAAGTAGGCCTTGCTACGCTACTACTTGAGAGGTAGTGTACTGTAGTTGGGCAGCTCAACGTCGATAGATGAGTCACAAATCAAACGCGATGTTGGCTGAGAAGCGCCTGGCTAGGAACCTGGAGACGGACCGTCCCTGGCTAACTTGTTGAACTCGTCGCGATGTTTCTGACACAGACAGTCATGGGCCAGATTCCCCAAGTACTCTTCTCGAGACAGAACTAGGGCTTTGGACTTCTTTTCTGTTAGCAGACAGTTTGAGAACTCGTGTTATTCTATTCCGATCGTCGGTTCATATCAGAATGAAGATGGATGTTGGGTTGAAGGTTGAGGGTTGAGGGTTGAGGATTTTGTCTAAGATTGACTCGTTTGATGTCGAAAATGTCAATAGTTATGGGAACACCAAAGATTTTAATGTATATAAAATAACCCTAGAGCCCTAGAGCTCACAGCGAAGAGTGGAATCCAAATCTGATGCAAAATGAAAAGGTGTCAATATAAGGATGCTAGTCAATGGGATTTTCATTTTCCAAACGATATGATTCCCCAGTCTTGTTCTACTGTACTGGTATATTGCAGACGGGCAGTAGGCACTGAATGAAAAGCAAGATGAGGTATCATGTAGGGTGGAAGTAAATAGCCCTTTCAATCATTTCTGCGGTTGATTAATTGTTTTCAAAATGGATCATTATGCTAATGATAGTGAGAGCTTGAACACACATATCAGTAAACGCCTGATATTTGCATTTCGTTGCAGCAATTTATTAGTTTTAGTGAAAGTTCTGTAAATGCTTCATACATAATTAGCGGAAGGAAAGGCTTTCAAACCGGAATGTAGCATAGTGTAGTAAATGTGTGACTTTAATCAAAGAGTGTTACCGATGCTTTCCCTACTTATTAAAGCTATGAGATGTTACTGCGCAGGATGGGCATTTTACTGGAGATTCCTTCCAGTACCTCCCTCATATCTTCTGCCTTAATGAGTTACACGTTATACCTCACTCGGTGCTAAAGTTTAGTCCGTCTCCCAGCTGCGAAAAACAACTCGATAACTTCCTCAGACATCCACGATTTCTTCAGCGTCGACAAACCACATGTTTTTTCTTTGGTGTTACTATCATTCACTTTTTCCACAACATCTGCTGGCAATACACAATTCGACGGACTTTTAATTCTATTGAACTTCAAAATGTGTCCTATCTATTTCATCGTGACCGGCAGCTCGGTAATGAGCCAAATGGAGTTGCTTACCAGTGGTATCGCCCGCCACATGCACACAAGATTGGGATAATGGTAAGTAGACAAAAGCATGTATTATATTCATATAGTGAAATGAGGACGGCGGTACCCAAGTAATCAGCACCAATGACGAGGATTTCGGTAGCCACTTCTGTACTTTTGGTGTTGAAAAGAAACATAGATACAACCAAATCCCCTCAAATCTTTCTTAAAAGTCCAATATCGTGTTCAAATCCCGCAGAGTTTACTTACATAACGATGATTGGTGATTACATAAAGTGTTACAAAACGGCTCGCACTCCTGTATGTCCAGCAACATACCAAAAAATGTGATTATGGAATTGAAGCAATGAAGCACCGGATGCTTGCTTTTGAGGATAAATGGTTGTCATTGAAAAAGCCAATGAAAGAGGTTTGTAAGACAGCTCATACGCAATTCCATGGTAGTGGATTAGAAGGCTCCATATTGTGATCACTTCTGCATGCCAAATTCAATAGAAACAACTGGTGAATCGGCCATTTTCCCCATTATGTAGAGTGTGCCTCAAGATGTTGCAGGAGATATTGATGATTCTTTATTCTTTTATTTTATTTTATTTAGAGATCGCTCTCAAATTGTCTAACCATCAAGCCTTTTTCGGCAAGAGAGTCCTTGACTTGCTTGACGGTATATTCTCCTCTATGAAATATTCCAGCTCCAAGGGCAGCATCTGTGGAAGTCTTCGAGAAAACTTCTTCAAAGTGACCAGGATTACCAGCTCCACTAGAAGCAATGACCGGTATGCTAATCGCATTCTTCACCTGATCAATAAGTTCCAACTCGAAACCGCTGTTTGTTCCGTCCTTGTCTATGCAATTCAAGAGAATCTCTCCCGTTCCCATTGCTTCGACTGCAGTCACTAGTTCGACCACATCCATATCTCGTGTTTCTCGACCTCCTTTGATTGTACACGCATACCAGCAATATTGCTCGCCATTTGGTCCTGGATACTTCGTTCGGACTGTGTGGTGCTTCGTTTCTTCGGGTTTTGATACGTATACTCGCTTTGGGTCGACACTGACGACCACTGCTTGGTTACCATAAGCGCCGGATATTTGTTCTATGGCTGTAGTTCCAGACAACTTCTTTCCATTTGAATAATACTCTTCTGCAGCCGTCACCGCATCCGATCCAATGGATACCTTATCTGCTCCACTCTTGAAATACATGGTTGCGATCTCTAATGCTGAGACCTTTGTACCATCGGTATCAACGGTGTCCCGAATACCTCCTCCGATTGTCAACGGAACAAATACGGTTTTCGATGTTTGTCGTAATATCTCGAGCATCGGCACATCTGCTAGCGGACAATCTCTAAAGCTTGTAATGTTGAGGAATGTGACCTCGTCTGCCCCTTGTTCATAGTATTTTTTGGCCATCTCAACTGGCTTTCCTAGATTTCGTACATTTCCTCCGTCGGTTTTCTCTCGCACGTCGTATTGATCTCCCTTCGTCACCACTAAATCTCCTTGGTCGTTTGTTCGCACATCTAAACATGCGATGATTCTTCTGGTCAAACCCTCCGTAGCAGCTACTACACCTTCAACCGCGCTACTATTGTTGTCCCCCTCCAGAAAAGCTTTGAGCACCCTCAATCCAGCAACGCCACTCTTCTCGGGGTGGAATTGTGTCGCCAAGATGTTTCCCTTTGTGATTGCTCCAACAAACTCTTCGTCCCCATAGCGAGCAGTTGCGACAGTCCAACCTTGGCTTTCCAATTCTCCTTGTTTGTAGGGGACCTTGTATGAATGGACATAATAATATTTGGAGCTCGGTCTCAGCCCATAAACTTGCTTATCCGATGTGTTTGCACTGTTCCATCCAATGTGCGGTACTGATTTTGAGCTATCGTCAAATCGATCGAGAGTGCCCTTAATAACTCCGAGACCTGAAACTCCTGGGGTTTCCGCAGAGCCCTCGAAAAGCGCCTGTAACCCAACACATATGCCCATGAAAGGTTTCCCCGAATCTATGTGTTTTTGTATCGCAGGAAGGTAGCCGGCTGATGAGAATTGAGTCATGCAGTGACCAAAATGACCAACTCCAGGAAGAATGAGTTTCTGAAGTGGAATAGATTAGAAAAAGGTTCATCGACATGGAGTAACCAATCTTAATCCGTAAATACAAGCCCGACAATTAAAACAACCTACATCTGCTTTTGGCACATCTTCTGGAGACCTTATCCATTCAATGGTGTAGCCCAACTTCTCGATGGCATTGGCCAAACTACGCACATTTCCTGCGACATAGTCAAGAAGATAGACTTTCGACATAATAATATTTGAGTTTAAAAGCCAATTGATCACCACGAAACTCAACAAAACCTACAATGGAGATGGCAGATGGCAGATGGCAGATGAGTCACTTGATAAGTATTGTACAAAACTGAGGGGTCAAATTGTCCCGCATAGAAATTATTCTGCCATACCTTCACTTCACCGCTATCAGGTGCCGGCCGCATCAGAGCTAATACTGGTCCCACTATTATCCCATTACCGACTTCACCCCTTTTTTCAATGATGGATCACATCAGAATCCAATTCACAGACAGCTGCTAAAGCCAACTTTACCCGCAAATCATGAGGTACTCCTTAACATGCTGGATAACCTCGTACACCACAATGCTAAGTGTCAATAGTCACTAGCTTTCTCAAATAGTGACGAACCCCAGGCTCTATCTATGCTTTACTTACTAAACGACCATGTTACATCTGTAAAGCCAAAAGTACAATTTACGAAACCCATCCCCGCTCTCAACGATCTCAATTGCGAAGGAATTCATGATATATCAATGTGGCTCAAATGACAAGAACTCACCAGCCCGATAACACAACACTTCAGCACTCAAACGTATTTTGCTTTCGACAAATAACGTCACATCACATCATACAATACATTTCATGTAATTCAGTGTGTTACATATCTATTTCCTTCTTGAGTTTCGCAATAAAAGACCACCTTTCAGGATGAAGTTTGAACCTCTAGGTTTTAGCTTATCTTTCATAATAATCAATATTTCTAGAAGATCAGTGTCTCCTCCATGGACTTTGTGAAGGAACCTGGGTGATTCCAGAAATCCCAAGAGTATCTACAGGTGAAACTTTCGAAATATCTATCTCACATCTTTCTATTCTTTATATGCGGGGTATGGAGACAGCTTTTGTATGACCAAATCGAGTCCCATCCTTCATTCTCGCAGCACCCCGCTTCATTTCTCGTTTTCAAACAGAGGAGAGATCACCCCAGCCATGATGCAAGTACACAATTTGGCAATCAACTATGCATCCCTCCGAGCCATACAGATATCGACTCGGCTACAATCGACCTCAGGAATAGTTCTCTAGGTTTTGAATTCCTCAAGCACCGCAAACCTACCAAATCCCTATCCTATGGTGGACCAAAAGGGAAACTATAATTGCCATTGCGTAGACTTCGGCCAAAAGCCAGTCTATCAGCCAGATTAATACATGCTATATGGAGATCCAATGGTACCAGTATATGGGATTCACGATGACAATGAAGATATTAAGGTAAGGTCAAGATTTCTCTTCGTGTAGCGTAGCGTAGCGTCAATCAGTATCAAACATCCGGACGAATTTCTTCTGACAGATTCAGAGGTACCAAAATTCATGCATGTGGTTGAAACGCAATAAGAGATGATGTTGGACTAGGTTATCGAAGTAGGACTTTGGGATTGTATTTAAGTTAGGGAAGGTTTCATAGTCATACTGGCAGATACCATACCTGTCTGAGATGACTAATTCAACCTTTTAGAGTCTTTGCGAGTCCTCTCGATTGCTCGTATAATTCACAATTCACGATATACCCACGATATACTTACTCATCGTAAAGTTTCGAATCGTCACCTCCTTGGTTTTAGAATATGAGAATCGAAAGATAAGTGATCGTACGTAGTGTACTCGAGTAGGTGTCGGGAGTAAGGGGTTGGATTCTTTTTCTGCTTGCTTTGCGTTGGGTTATACGAGTACAGAGAGAAAACTCTGGTTCGCGTCTAGATTTTGTAATCTGGATTCCTAAAAGAAACAGGTCTTTCTGTTTTGGTTCGTGTTGTGTGTCTTCTATTGATTTTAGGGCATTCTTATTGTGTTGTAGTTTTCCTTGAATATTGGAGGAGAATAATTCATAAATGGTGTCACGGTATCGCCATTTTCCACCGATGTACTTGAGTAGTATGTACCAATACAATGTATACGTTTAGTTTCTTTACAGTATAACGAAACAAACGAGGGGAAGAAAGTTGCGATATATGGTGCCCTAGAATACTGGTACTGTTTTCATTCAGTTGTTTGATATTATCTTCGTTTCAATGACAGTAATACGTCAATTTACCCACATCATCCTCAAGCACAAGAGATAAAAACGCCCAAACATGCAATCTAAACCCATTATACCCCCCCACCAAAGGGTATTATCATTACCTCCTTGAAATCGCCTTTTCTGAATTCTCAAAGCAATCACCAAAGTAAACACGCATCGCAATGCAATGCGCCTTAATGAACAAATGCAGCCATTCTATGCCCAACTCAAGATCTTCGACGGCGGAGTCCTGAATCAATCTCATCAACTTCGCCCCCACTATCCGTGTACGCATTCCACGCATCACAAGTTTCCTTTACTACCTGTGGAATCATGCCCCTCTCATCTCTCCCCTCAGCCACTAAATCCGGCCTCTCAAAAATATTAACCAACAGCCCTGCACTAACGTGCGCACTGGTATGACAATGCAATGGCCAAACTCCAGGATTATCTGCTTCGAATTCTATGACTAAGTAAGTAGGGCTAGATACCGAGCCGCGTCTCATGAGTTGTGTATCGCGACGGAGAGGATTAGAGGGGTTTGTGATGGTGCCATCCCAGGTTCCTCTCCCTTCGGCTAGGACAAAGAAGTCGTGGCCGTGGAGATGCATGGGATGGGTGGTATCCCAGAGGTTCGTGAGGTGGATGCGGATCGAGGGAGAAGTGGAAAAGTTATAGATGTTCCAGTCGAGAGGGAGGGTTGAGACAGGAGTTCCTTGTTTGGCAAGGAGGAGGAGAGGTGAACTAGGGTGGGTTAATCGTCATATTAGGAGATCTAATAGAACATGAACTTACTTGTAATCAGCTCGGAAGGTTATGTTGTTCACGGTGAAAAGCGCACTGCCTGATGAGTTTACGCCAACAGTTATCTCCATATTCTGCGTAATGGCTGGAGTATCGGGTGGTTTGACCGCTGTGTAAGGGACGGTTAGATGCAAGGGGTCCTAAATACATGTCAGCATATCCAGTCATCAACATGCGGAATGATAATTCTGACATTGGCACAATCGTTACTATCCCATGCCACACCTGTCGTAGTTGGTGCAGTCGTCGTATTTGCGTTGTCATAATAAATTGCTGCCAGACCATGAGGGTTCGTACAGGTCAGAGTCATGCAAGGAACATCAAGATCAGATCGCATCCAGACAGCATCATTCAACTGTCCTGATGCTGTTACCACAACATCTGCTCTTTGCCCAATCGCAAGGGTGACTACGTTGGTCGTATAAGGGATGATTGGAACATAATCGACTGCGGTGACTTGAAGTTGATGTCCATCAATGGAGAATTTCTGCGTGCCTGCACTACCGGCGTTGATGAGTCGGAGACGGTGTGTTTTGCCTTTAGTAAACTTGAATTTGGAAAGTCCTGCATCCGGGGTACATATACCACCTGGAGTGGAATTACAATTGAAGATGCCCTTCCCATTGATTAGATTGTTGTCGACATGTGGAAAGATCGGACCAATGGGGACTTTTGCCGCTACGCCTTCAATTACACCACGATAGGATTGATGAATATAGTCGGACTATTAAACGTTATTATCAAAATCCACAGTGATTGGAAGCATAACTAACCAGCATCACGGGGCCAAGGTCGATATCATAATCCACATTTTTAGGACTATGAAATGTCAGCAGGTTACCTAAACGTGTGACTCGGAATGTCTTACCCATAAATGACCATCGGCCCAAAGAGACCATCACTATACTGAGCGCTGAAATGCGAATGATACCAGCTGCTTCCATAAGATTCCGCTCGAAACTCGTACATAAAGCTACTGCCGGGTGCAATGGGACATTGAGTGACCGAGGGTACACCATCCGCCCAAGGAGTGAGTTTCTGCGGTTGACCATGCCAATGAAGACTCAGTCCTTCTTTCCCATTATCAGTAATATTGTTTGTGACTTTGACACTAATCACATCTCCCCAGTTGGCCTCGATGAGTGGTCCCGGGAACTGATCATTTATCAAGATGACATTCTTCTGGTACCCGTCTGGTGCCTTGATGGACCTAGATACTGTAAGATCATAGTACCGTGTCTTTCCGGTATTAGGTGGAATCCCTGGTCCTTCCTTGGCGTTTCCCCAAGGGTATCCAGGAGACGACTGAGCGGTTGTTAGCCATTGATCAAGTTGGTACTTGACGTTGAGTGAATATACATTATCAGCTATGAACGGGGGAAGTGTAGAGGCATTCAAACATCCGTATGTAGATAGCCCTGCAATTGTCAGTATGCTCAGATCCTATAGTTATGAATTACTCACCGTTTGTAGAATATTGAGATAGCGAAGCATGCAACGAAGCTGCTCTTGTAAACAACCCCTTCATCCATGCCATTTTGAGGTTCAACGGGGGTAATAATGCAGATTCTGCGTACGAATTAGTCTAATAGCTCGTGGCTTTTCAACAAGTGGAGAGGAGGGGGAAAGAAATGGGAATTTATATGAGAATGGTATTATGGTAAGAGCCTCGTAAGTGCGATAAGACCCTTTGATGTAGAGAATTCAGCTCGTGCTGCTCGGTGTCGTGTCTGACCCAGATGGAGCTTCAAAAAATAAATGACTTGAAATAAAGCTAAGAATGGACAACTTGGCTTTGGCTTCGTGTTCGAGATAATGTAGATATTTGTCTCTGCGTCATAGATCTACACCCAAACAAGAAGTAAACAATACTGCATGAGCAAACCAATGCCGTTGTGAATACATTTGCTATCCTCAGACACGACATGGTAACCTAAGGTGAAAGACGTAAGAGACGGCCTGAAGCCATGCAGCAGATCATGCAGCAGATCATGCAAGGCTGACAGGGTCTTGGAAAGCACAGCAGTTCGAAACATGTAATATTCCTTCCCTATTTTCATTCTTACACGCTTTTCGTTTGCATGCATCTTCACAGCCACTTGCCCGAAACATTTCCAATCGCATTTCCAAGATATATACCTGCCAATCCGATATCGATATTTTAAAATACTGAAGTTCTCGATAACAAGAGCAATGCCACGCAATTGTTGGTGGCTGGCGGCAGCAGACTGACTGCGCTTGCGTTTTGGGAGAAGAACGATCCAATGAATGTCACGACTCGGCGTTTAGCTGAATGACTGCGATAATCTCAGAGATGATGGTGGAGAAACATTTAGTTGCGCAGAAGTTGCGTTACATCCCGTATTCTTGGCATCGGAATTTAGGGGAATTCCTAAAATTGCTAAATTTGTTGCCATCGCAACTACGCAAAGCCAAAATGGGAGAATTGACCTCTATTAAAGGTTGCCTAGACGATCATGAACTAAGGACACAATCGAGATTGTTCTAAGAAGTGGCTGCAGTAACATACGTTGTGACCAAGGCAAAGGGTAAAGATCTGACTGGGTACTGTAGTCTGTACAACCCCAAATACCGCACCTCATGCAAACTTCTCTTAGCACATTACCTTACATAAAGTAAAGCCCTAGTTAAGCCCAAAATACGTAAGGTAATGCGATTGAGGTTTTGAGCCTTCAATTCCAGGCAAATATATATTTTGATATAGGGAGGGATATAGATATGCAACCAAACTTGAGTTTGAGATTATTTTTGCTATTATAAAATAATCTCAATATTATCAAGATTTTATTTAGAAAAAAATATATATAATTATCTCAAAATCCTTGAGTTAAACTCAAAATAGAAGAAAATTATAATAAATGAATTAATTATATAAATTAAGATTATCTTAAAGTCTTTAAATTAAACTCAAAATGAAAAAAAGATAAAATAATTGTCACGGGTTCACTATCCGTTCCTAGAGCTGTAGAGCTAGGGCTCTAAGCTGTGAAAGGAAGGTTCAAGAGAGCTGTCGTATTATACTATATATGTAGTATGAACCAGTGGGCGGAAGAGAGCCGTCTGTTCCGTCACAACAATGGAGAAATAGAACCTATTCAAAAATAGATCTTTGAAAAAGTCCTTGATAACTATAATGAAGATAGTCATCACTATTTAGTGAAGTGGAGATACTATGTTTTGATCTAATAATTGGTATCCGATTTGAAAGAAAACGAAAAGTTTCTGGCAGAATACTATGTATTGCACTTGGAAAAGCCTGGTTTACCAATCTAGATCCTTCAGAATCTATTACAAAAGGATTTCTTGTTCCAGCAAAAGTATTAATTGTATAAATACTATTGCCTATCAAACCTGGGCTATAATATTCTATTAAAGAAATAAAACTATGAGTTAGCAATATCGAGTTAAAGAAAAGTGTTCGATTCAATGATTATACTTATATAATAACCTTTAATGATTACGGTTTTGAAAATAGATAATAGATAAAACAGAAGAATTAGGATATACAATGATAATAATTTAATATAATTTGCTATAAAAGACAAGGGACTTTGTATCATTTATTATGTTATACATTTGTTTGAAAACAAATAAGGTTTGAAGGAAGGGGGTATTGTTACAGGTTCACTATCTGTTCCTAATTAGTTCGGATGAATACCTTAGACATCCATCCATTATATAATTGTTGTCATTCCATGTACCTCCTTTTCCCCTTGTCGAATATCATACATTATATCTAGTACCCACCAGAACCTGTACCAGCCCCGTGATAATAATTATATATACTTTATATAAACTTTATTTGACTTTATAAACTCTATAACTTGAGTTAAACTAAAAATTTATTAAAATCTAAAAATTTCAAGTAAATGAAAGGGTTTTAATATAATAATAATAATAATAATCACTTATGTCCTATAACAAGAGGATATTGAATATTCATATAATTATTTTTTAGATTTTCTAAAAATGATATTTTCTTTAGGCTTAAATTTAGGCTTTAT